AAAAAAAAAGACAGGTACACATTCCTTTCAAACCCCACAGATTTACTTTCTCCTTGAAGATACAGTTTCTTCCCCCAGGCAGCTTTGTTAGGAGTCCAAAGAATGGATCTCATCCTCATCTCCCATCCAAACTCCCACACCTTCTCTTGCTCTTTCTCCATTTGCCAGGTAGTTCTATGGGTAGGCCTAGGGGAACCAGGCCACCTGGGCTGAGGAGAGCAGCACAAGACACCACTGAAGGCTGATGCTTCCAGCCTTGGCAAGGTTGATCTACCTGGGAATTATGTGGCTTTAGTACAACTCACACAGGATTAACCACCAAAGGGGAAACTCACTTAAGTCATCATCTAATGACTTCCCAATGTATTTCACAATAAAGTCACTGGCAACAAGTAAGCAATGCTGGCACATGGGTATATGCCAACTTGCAAGCACACAGCATTTTTTAATAAGGGCCATCATTATCCTCAAAGTCCCTCCGTTTTGAGGAATCTGGACCTGCCCCAGGTATGTAATAATCCTACCCAGCCAGAATCCAAATTAGTTGGAAAAGGTCCCAAAATGCCTCAGAGGAGTGAGTTTCAGGGAAGATGAAAAGTGGTAGGGAAAAGCAGACATGGTTGTAGGGTTTGATGTCAAGGATCCCATTCCTAACTGCCCCTCTCCACCCCACCCCCTGGGTCTCCATTGCCCTTTCCCGGCCCCACTACTTGCAGCCGGGGAGTAGTTCGTAACTCCATGGTACCCTCCCTAGAGCGACTTCCCCCTCGGGCTTCTCCAGAGCCCTCGAAGAGCCGTGTGAGGAACCGGGGACCCGCCCGAGGCAGCAGATCCCCAGCGGTGAAGACGTAGAGCACCGGGTTGACGCTAGAGCTGAAGAAGGCCAAGGCTGTCGTTCCAGCCCGCGCTGCCTGGCCCGCGCCGCCGAGCCTCGCCAAGGCACCTTCTAGTGGAGCGAGTGCTGCCACCGCTTGCAGTAGGTTGACTGCGTGGTAGGGAGCCCAGAGCAAGCCGAAGGCGAGCACGATGGCGCTCACCAGCCGGCCCACCCTCGACCCCTGCTTCCCAGACCCCCAGCGGGCGCCCCTCAACCGCGCCAGCGTCACGCTGTAACAGCCAAGCACTAGCCCAAAAGGAAGCACAAAGGCGGTCAGAGTCTCCAGGCTCAGGTGGGCGGCGGCGTGGGCGGGCGACGGGTGGCACAGCTGGCAAACGCGGTCCCCCCAGAGATGGCGGTAGACAGCGGCCGGGACAGCAAGCAACAAGGCGGCCAGCCAGACTGCCAGCAGTAGGCGACGGGCCAGAGCCGGGCTGCGCAACCGGGGTGCCAGGAAGGGGCGGGTGACGGCGAGGCAACGCTGCAGGCTGAGCAGGCCGGTGAGCAGCACACTGGCGTACATGCTGAGGGCGCACACGTAGTACACAGCCTTGCAGCCCGCCTGGCCCAGCGGCCAGGCTTGCCCGGTCAGGAAGGCTACGAAGAGCGGTGTGAGTAGCAGGACCGAGCCATCGGCCAGTGCCAGGTGCAGTACTAGCGTGGCCGCCAGTGGTCGCCCACGTGCGGGCCGCCAGCCAGCCAGACTCCACACTACGAAGCCATTACCGGGCAGCCCCAGCAGCGCCGCCAGCAATAGAAAGGCCGTTCCAGTGGTCCGTGAGGCCTTCCAGCTCAGCAGTGTCTCATTCCCAGGGGGCCGGTAGCAGACTGACATCCTTCTTCTCCTGCGGGGCTGGAAGAGGCCACAGAAGTGGAACATAAGTCCACATTGCCTCCGATGCTAGGTGAGAAGGAACTGTGCTTCCCTCCACTTCCCTGCAGCCTGCCCTTCTTCTCTCTGGGAATCTTGACATGGAGGATCCTGACCCCCAATTCAAATACCACTCCTTCTTAGAACCTAGATCCTCTGCTTCAGGTCAGGTGGCCTTCACTCCTGACACCTCCCAGAGCCCAGAAGTCCTCTGTCCTAAATTTACTCAGGCCCCCATTCCTAACTTTAGGCTGTCCTAAATTTAGGCTGTCACTACTACCATCTCTGCCCCTTAAAAGTGGGCAGTGTGGAGAAAAAGGGCATGGGCAGATCTACTTACCCAGCTAGGAGCAGGTAGGGCTGGGGGCCTTCAGAGGCCTGGGGAAACAGAAAGGTGAGGCAGCAATGCATCAGGTGCCAATGTCTATCACATTTGCAGAGGGTGAGGCAAGAATAGGGAGGGACAAGATGGGGCTCATCCTGGCCTTTTCCTGGGGCCCCTCCCTCACCCCATTCTTTCCCATCACTAACAGGTCCTGACGTGTGGGAGCCTGCCTCCCTAGGAAACAGGATGAAGCTGAGGATGCAGAAACACTCAGTTGATACTTGACCCTGAACCCTGCTTTTTTTTTTTAATACATGGACACAATATCTTTATTTTGTTTACTTATTTTATGTGATTCTGAGTGTAAGGTCAGGCACCAGTGAAGAAAAGGAGGCAGACTAAAAGCTGCTGAACAAGGCTTTATTGAGATTCGCTCTGGGCAAGACTCTCCAGTACAACAGAGTGGTCCGGTGGAGTTGCACCCAGGCTCAGCTGGATTGTAATTTTATCAGGCTTGGGGCAGGAAGGGAGAGCTTGGGACAGGAAAGGGCTTGCTCTCCTGGGGTTGGTCTGGAGATCTTGCTGAATTCCATGTCCTTCCAGGATCAGTCAGGAGACCCCACTGATTGACAGATGATTATCACTGCTTGTCTGTTGGCACCTGATTGGTTGTTAGCTGTTTGTTCCCTTAGCCACTTCAACTGACCTAACACTGAGGATCAAACCCAGTGCTTCACATATGCAAGGCAAGTGCTCTGTCACTGAGCCACAACTCCAGCCCCTGCTTTTGTTCTTGTCCCTTCTTCATTTCTGCCCCCCAATCCTTCCAGCATGCCTTCTGCAGTGCTTATGCTTCCTGGCCTCCTTGGCATGCATTCAGCAGAGGTGACCCACACAACTCAGTTTCTCAGCTGCTCTCACTTGGCCTATTTTCAGCCTCCCAACCCTGCTGAGTTCCCTTTTTCCTCAGCTCCCAGTCCACCCCCAACCATCTCTTGTTTTGGGAGTTTCTCTCCACCCTCTGGACTTTGGCTGGGTTGTCAATGACAACTTTTCAGTGTAAGGAATGGTGCTAGGTCTGTTGAGGAGGAAATAGAAATGCATGGAGGTTTAAGGGGTGTTGTGGTTTGGATCTGGAATGTCCCCAAAAGCTCATGGAGGTATGGCCCCTATTACAGCAAGATTTAGAGGTGGAACTTTTAAGCAATGACTAGGGTTCTGACCTTATATAAATCTATTTGCTGGATTAATCCACTGATAGCTGAATGGACTACTGGGAAGCTGGACATTGTTGGAGGAAGTAGATCACTTGGGCATGGCCTTGGACTATCACTGTCCCTGGCCTCCTCTTCCCTCTTCCTCTTCTCTCTCCCCCTCCCTCCCTCACCCCTCCCCCACCCTCCTCCTTTCTGGCTGGTTGGTTCTCACAGGCTGCATAGCTTTTTTCCATCAGGCCCTTCCACCATGATGTTCTGTCTTACTTCAGGTCCAGAGCAATGGAGGCAGCTAACAATGGAATGAGACCTCTGAAACTGTGAACCAAAATAAACTTTTCTTTCTCTAAGTTGTTCCTGTCAGGTACTTTGATCACAGTGATGAAAAGCTGACTAACATAAGGGGCTTGCTTATAACCTGGCTGGGGAATCATTATTCACAACCACAAGATCACACTACCAATCTTTACAAGGATATAAGAAGAAAGGAAAGGGTGCAGTTTGTGTAGAGACATATTGAAAAGAAGTTCTCTCTGCTGGGAGAGGTCAGGCAAAGATTGGAAATGAAGAGATTGGCAGGGAATGGGGGAGCAACAGGGCCCAGCAGATCAATAGAGTGAGTGGAGGGAGGGGGAAAAGAAAGTCCTCTGCCCAGTCAACAGCCCAAACTGGAGTTTTCTGGGAACAAGGACACCAAAAGCATTGTCTTAGTTTGAGTTCCTCAATAGCAGAGCCTGAGATAAGGGCGTGGGTATAGGTAATCCTGTATTTGAAAGGTTGACTCAGGAAGCAGAGGGGAGGAAGCAGGATAAAATATAGAGAAGCTGGGTGTGATGGTGCACACCTGTGATCCCAGTGACTCAGGAGACCAAGGCAGGAGGTTTTCAAGTTTGAGGCCAGCCTCATCAACTTAACCTGTTGAAGCTAAGTTGAAGCCCTGCCTCAAAATAAAAAATAAAAAGGGTTGGGGATGTGGATCAGTGATTAAGCACCCCTGGGTTCAATCCTCAGTACCCACCCACACCAAAATAGGTACGAAAGAAGAAACCCCTAATAGCATGGCATGGCATTACATTCCTTTGGTAGGCACTGGACCTACCTCTGGGAAATGTACAGAATGCCCAGAACAGGAGACCAAGGTATGTCCACTGTTGGAAGACTGTCCTGAAGCATTAATGCCACTATAAGTGCCCCTGTGCTTGTAAGGGTTTGAGTAAGCTGACAACTTCTGACAAAGATTCTTCCATCTGGGCTAAATTCACAGCTAAAGTCACCCCAAAAGTAGCAAGAGAGTTCCCACAAGGTATCCCAATCATCCCAACATGGGGCTAGTTGGGAATCCAAAGAAGCACTCAACTCCAGGGTGACTGGTCCCAAGTATTTACAGAGCAGACTGCAGTATATCTTTATGAAAGGGAGAGTAAAAGATATTCCACTTATCCCCACAGTAACGGCATCAGGGTACAGAGTTCATGAGAGGGTTTAAGGAATTTGGTTCAGGGCTGAGGCTAGTTTCTTTCAGTGTTTTGGGCAACAATCTAAACACCTTTTTCAGTATCTTGCCAAAGCCTTGAGCCTGCCTAAGAAATGCAACTGGCTGGTTCCCTGAGTAGTGAAGGAACTCCATGTTTCTTAGGAAAAAAAAAAAAAAGTTGGAGGATCTGGGGGACCCTATAAGGTTCCTTCCAAGGCAGGAGAGGAGGAATTGTGGTCATTTGAGGTGTTTAAGTTTAACTCCAGTTAGAGTCTAAGCTTCCATACAATGTTCATCCCACTGCAACTGAAATCAGAGATGGATAAAGCTGAAGTCCTGATGCCATCAAAGGACACCTCCTGCCCCATACACATCTCCTTCATGCCCATTACTTGGTGAAAGGAAAAAGGTGGGAACAAAGGTCACTACTGAAGCAACAGTTCTGGAGAATGAGCCAAGGATATGTTGGCAAGCCCCTCTCCTACCCAGGAAAGAGCAGGTCAACAGAAAGGAGAGGGTCTCAGACAGGATCAGGATCCATCCTTTCCTCAAACCACTTCCAAACACTTGCCTCACCTCTCATTTTATCCAAGCCTTGCCCAAGCCTGTTTCCCACCCCATTTCCCCACCCTAAACCCATTTCCTCACCTTCTGCCCAATCTTTCCAGGAAGCTACAGCCCATGGCTTTTCCTGTAGGTGGAGCACAGAATAGTGCACCTTACATACAATACAGCTTCTCAGCAGCTGGGAGCCAGAAACTATTCCTAGAAATTCTCTCCAAAGAAATAAAACACCAGAGGTCACATTCCATCCTTTTTACCCTCACAAGGGCCCTCAGCACACACAGATGTGCACATGCACACGCATAGGCACCTGCGCATGTCTCAGAGCCTTTTGCTGGGCAGTCCAACTTCTACCACCTTATCTAGGTCCCTCCTCCTTCTCTCCCCTTGGACTTTGTCCTTCGTACTGGCCAGGGAGGGGGGCCAGAGCTGGGCTTGACTCATTCCCCACCTCTTCAGGACTGAGAGCCCAGCTTTGTAAGAGAAAACGTCACTTCAGCCCCAGCACCACAGTGCAGCGTCCAATCCAGAGGCCCCAGGAAGGCAACTCTCCTACTTCCCTCTACCATGGAGTACTTCTCATCCCTGAACCCCAATGGCCTGCTCAGGTGATTACTAACTCTCCTCTCTACCCTCTAACTCTGGGGATATGGTTAGGTAGGGAACAAAAGTCCATTCAGCCCCTAAGAGACTCACTTCCCCTCCTCCCACTACTTTACACATTTGTCCAGTTCCTGAACTACTGGACCCATTCCAACGCCTCTCCCTTAGCTGATCTGCAAACCTAGGACCCTCCCTATTTGGCTCTTCAGTCATCCCACCCCTCTTCCCTCTTCTTCCCAACTTTACAACCAGGGCTGTATCCAGTATGAGCTCTGAGCTTGGCCGAAGGGTATGGACTTCAGCCCCACCGCCTCAGAGACCCTTCCGTGTCTGTGATCATAAGCGGACAATTAGGAAAGGTCTGACAGCTGCCACCCGCCAGGAACTGCTAGATAAGGTGAGTGAGCCAGGTTCCTAGGTTCCTATAACAGGGGCAGCCAAGGGGCTCAATAGTGACAACTTGAGATGACAGAGTAGAAAGGGCTAAGGTCACATAGCTGTCCCTCCAAGGGCTAAGAGTCAGTAGGGGCGGAGGTGTGACCCAAATAACTTCTGTTGAATTTGGGTAAATTTGGTTTTTTTCCAAGTTGTGGGCTTTTCTCTGGGAATAGGGGAAGCAGTATATAGGGAGGGCTGGAGAATGGAATTCAGAAGTCAGTATGAAATGGTGATATGTATGAAAAACCAAATTCAAATTCTGATTTTACCCCTT